TAAACATTGCACTGCAACATCGTAAACCCAATTTGAATAAATCAACCCGTCAACCACACTGTACATGAAAGCTCTTTTTGTTGCTATGTATGCCTTCCAGAGCATCTTATTTGGAGGAAGGTCGTCAAAGTTAGACCAAGTGTCCATCAGGACGAACAGGAACAGCATTGTCAGGGGGTGAACCAACAGCAGGATTGCGGCCTTTAACCACCGTCTCCACCTGCAGATTGAATGGAATTTTCATCAACTTAGAAAGGACATCATCTAAAAATATAACAGAGAAATTGAAGGTCTATATATCTATTTGTGTATGTGTGTGCAGATGTAAGAAAGCACATATTTTTTCTATCATTCTGAATATATAACACTATATAACACATTACAGTTGTTAAGAGAGAGAGAAAAAAAAAAGCTGAAATGCAAAATTCTGAATTGGTATGAAGTAAATAATTCAATGCACAGGACTGAATTATTTAGCTTTCTGTAGAAAATAATCTGAAAATACTTTGTACACTGACCTTGATTTTGATGGGGAGGTCATCAGAGCTACAGGTGTATATGCAACTGTAACTATTAACGCAAGAGAGAAATTGTATACTGCTCCAGCAAACACCAAAATGCCCAATTCAAGGACTGCAAAGATCTTCACAATTTCCCAACTTCGATTTTGTAACCCCAGGTTTCTGGAACAACAACAACAAAAAAAGAATATACCATAAAACCTATGCTAGTGTTTTAACCCCTTGGATCTGAGTGCTTCCCTGCCTGCAAGTGGCCCAAAATCTGGGCTTAGGCTTAATTGATTGGCAAATTTCCCAGGTGTGTGGCTTGTAGTGCACCCGACTCACTGATCTTGGTGAGCAGGAAGAGGATCCAGAGCATGAAAATAAGCCCTCCTTGGCGCTGCAACTCTTCCAGTCATGGCTCAGGGATTGGACAGTCCACACACATTTACTGATGGAAATAATCATTGAGCCCCTTCCTTAATGCCCACAGATTCTAATCACCCTCCACGAGCTTTCTGCACTTGTGACAGGTCATTTCCACTCCAGGGCTCTGCCAAATTTTTTCATGATAGCATATTCACCTCACCCAATTCCTAGCCAATTTTTTCATGATGGTCATGTCACCCAGATCCAAAAGGTAAATGATACATACTGAGATGATATTTTCTAAATCATCCAAATATTACCCTTACAAAATCCTATTACTTATGCAACCTTTTCTATCATTATCCTTTTTAAAAAATTACAAAATGTAATTTTCCATATTATTCTTATGATGATACTGATCAAGTTTGAAGAAAATACCACAATCTGATTATTTCATTTAAAATATACATGCTAAATATGTTACAACTTTGTTTTCAGTCATCATGTTAAAGATCACATCTACATTCTGACAATTCTATTTGAATACTTACTTGCTGATATAGTAAGGAAGAACTAGTAGTGACACACAGAATGCTAATGTTCCAAGAAAGACACTATCCTCTGCTGACAGTGCCAAGTAGCGGCCTACTTGAGAAAACCTGTAGGGAGCATTGTGTAGCAGGACACTCACTATGTGAACCATTACAACTGTAGGAAATCCACCAAGAAGACCATAATCAATCTGAAAAGATGAATAAATATATACATTGTTTATGTGGACACATGCGTACACACACACACACACAAAAAGAGTGAGAGAGAGAGAGTGAGAGAGAGAGAGTGAGAGAGAGAGAGAGAGAGAGAGAGAGAGAGAGAGAGAGAGAGAGAGAGAGAGAGAGAGAGAGAGAGAGAGAGAGAGAGAGAGAGAGAGAGAGAGAGAGAGAGAGAGAGAGAGAGAGAGAAGGGGGGGGGGGAACAGGCATGGGGCAATTGAGCAACTACAGAAGAGTAGTGAGGAAGACAGCTATCAAGAAAATGAGTGTAGCTCCTGGATAGAGGAACAAAAAACAAAAAGACTTCTTGGTGGAACGTATAAAGAGGAAGAGATTGGGGGAAAAGAATTGGGATAATCAGAAAGATAAAGAAAGTAGACAGGAATACAAGGACATGCACTGGAAGGTGAAGAGAGAGGTGGCAAAGGCTAAAGAAACGGTGTATGGGGAGCTGTAAATGAAGAGGGACACTATGGAGGGAGAAAAGGTAGATACATTTATACACATACAATGCCCGTATTGTTACATATGTATATGTAAATCAAAAAATTTGCATATACTAATATATCTATATATTTATGGATAGACAGAGAGATCGATAGATAGATTGATAGATTTAGATACAGATATATAGATATAGATATACAGATGGAGAGAAGAAGTATGCAGAGATCTATATTTATACATCTTTATAAACTGATAATTCTTTTTTAGACAGATAGATTCACACATATACAATGCCCTTACTGCAGCCATCAGTGGTGATAAATTGCATATCCACCAAAGAGTTATACATGAAATACAGGAACATGTGAATAATTTTGGTAGCTGTTTAAATAAAGCTGTACAAAACAGCTAACAAAATGTCAACTAAAATTGTATGTACACAGAGTCTCCATGTATATGTACGTGTTTTGTTTTCCTTACTGCAGCCACGAGAGCCTCAATTTTCTACTCATTACATTTATAATGTTCACAGAATAAGTCAACATAAAAGCAACACATCCTCTCTCAAAACTGCTTGGATAATTAAATGCTAACAATATTCACACACCACTGCTTGATTCCTTCTCATCTGCCCCTTTGAAACAGCCTGGATTTCCCACTGGAAGTACCAGTTCCCACTGTGCTTACCTTCTTCGCCTTCTTCTCTTGTTCTTGTTGCTCCGCTGCACAGCTTGTGGAGTACCACAGGGCCAGTGCCTTCACCAAAATCCCACCGGCAATCATCCCAAATGGAGGCATATACACACCTGGCAAACACAACACTCATTATTAAAGGACTGCCTGTTGTGGTTAAGGACATTCTAAATTTCATATAAAAATAAATAAATAAATAAATAAGTGAGTATGTGTTTCAATAGATAGAGCAAATCTCCAGTCAGTGCTTAGTTTGGTAAAATAATAAATTCTTTAATGTTTACCTATTTACATTCTCTGGTATCTTCTTGACAAGTGCTGATTTTATTTAAATGTTTAGTCCTTAAAAG